GGCACGCAGGTCCCCGGGGCATTTTCTGCACATGCCTTTGGAAAGCCTGTGCCTGATGCTGGAGTGGGCTGATGTGGCTGCACATGGGCACATGCCAGCCTCGAGTGGTGCCATTCCTGTGCCAGGGGCTCAGTGCTGTCCTGGTGAGCTGCAGGAACAGCCCCCACACATCCTGTGGGGCAGCCATGCCCGATCCCCCCCCAGGAACAGCCCTGCAGTTTCCCCTCCTGTCTCTCCTAAGCTTTGCAACCTCCTGGAAACTGAATTTTTCTCACCTAGGAGGGACACACTCAGCCGAAGTGATGCAGGCTTTCAGCCTGGCCACAGTGTTCACCTGGTGCTGTTGGTGCTTCCCTTTGGCACTGGGCTGTCTGCACTGAATCCTGCTGGCTGCAGCAGGGCTTGAGCACTGAGTTAGGAGGGATAAGGTCAGGCCATACTCATTTCCTCCACAGCCACTTGGGACAGTCAGAAAGGCTGGCTCCTCTGGCATTTGGCAAAGGTCAGCCAGCCCCAGTGCTTGCATTTCCATTCCAGCCAGCTCTGCTTCCTTGCCTGGTGCTCTTGGGAGCACCACAACCAGAGCCTGGGTGCTCAGGTCTATCTTTTTCCTCCTTATCTTTAGATAAATGTAATGGCTGTGAGCAGGGTTGTTTTCCAGCATCCAAGCAGTGACAGAGGGCAGAGAATGTCCTTATGCTTTAATGAGGGATTACAGGGATTCAGAAAGGGAAAAATGGATTTTTCGTAACAGGAGCAGGTCGATGCCTCTGGTCTCTGTGGGTGAAATAAGGGTAATATTAGGTTTCGTGCTCTTTCAGCAGGTCAGGAGCCAGCTGGGGCATGTCTTTCCCAGTGGGAGATGTTCACATGGATCCACCTAAGCCCAGAAGCAGGGTTTCTCCTGCCCTAGCACCCCACAGGAGAACTTACCCCGTGGCTGGCCTAGGAGAGGTCAGACTGAAGGAGAAATGGCTGAATCACCCATATATATCCAGGGTTTGCCCTATGAATTTACATCCTCTTGGGGCTGGGGCTCAGATATATCCTGGAGAGCTCATTGTTCTTCCTCTGGACTTTTCATGGAATTTCTAAATTATGGACCTCTCAGCAGGCTTCCTAGACCCCATGGGTTGGGGAAAAAATCCTTCATGCTGTCAAATACTGTGAGATGGGCATCCTGTTCACTGCCTTTTCTCCAGCCCTGACTTGTACACCGAATATTTTCATGCAAACAGTTTGTCCAGGGCAAGGGCATCCCAAGAAATGTGCCAAGCATCTCCCCAGTTGGATGATGGCATTTTGCAGGATGTAGACACAGCCCCTCTACCCTGCTCCCTGGAGAGCTGGAAAGCAGACACTCACCTCAGTCCTCCTGTGCCTCAGTTTCCCTTGATTTGAAAGGAGCTGCTAATTCATCCCAGCCTCCCAGGAGTGCCACAAGGCTAAATTCACCAGTCCCTGCACGTTTTTCTTTGGATACCATGGTGATGGGGCAATGTGAGGACATAAAATGACTGATTTGCATCGAGATGCAAGGTGTCCCTTTGTCCCGAGCCTTTGGGCTATCTGGTTTCGTTGCCCACCTCTGGGGCGAGCCAGATATAGAAATGGAATCACATGAAACAGCACAAAGGCTCTAATTCAGAGCTGGGACTGAGCAATTAAAATGTAGCATGTTCAGAAGGCAGCTTCCCTGGATGGCAGACAAAAAGAATCAATTTCCTTCAAACAAATACTAAATATTAATGAGAGGCCATGGTCTGCCATGCACACAGAGCTGGAAAGAGCATTTCCCGTTGATCACTGCGGAGGCAGCTTCGTGAGATGAAATTGCTTTTTGAATGGTTATTTGTGGCCTTTCTTGAGGTGGCTCATGGTTTGCCTGCCTAAAAAAAAAAAAAAGAAAAGGAAACTCAGAGCATTTCCATTTTCCATCAGGGCAGGCACTGGGGATGTGTGATGGTGCTTTCATTTTTGTTTACGCACTTGCCCGAGTGGTTGGGGAAATGTCTTGGATCGGTTATGTGGAAATCAGCCCCAAATTTACGTCTAGAAGGAAGCAATTCCCTGGGAACATCAGCCAGCTGAGCCTGCCCCCAGAATGGCCTGCCAAAGGCAGAACATGGGACCCAAGAGCATCCCCGGCTTTGCAGCCACATCCGCTCGTTGATTTATTTCAATAACGAGCATTGGGGGAAACATTAAAAAAATTACTTGCAGCCCTCACCAAGTATCCTAAAGTGAAAGCAGAGTGCTGGGAGCTTTGGAAAAGGAATTTTTTTCTATTGCTTTGACCCTTGGGTAAGTCAGGAAACTTTGCATTAACTGCATTGCCAAACTTGGAGTTGGAAGAAAAGAACAAAAATGCTCCTCTCCCTCCTTTCCAGGACACACAGCCCTGACATGGGACTTTTGTCCCCAGTGCTGCCCATGGTCAGCACAGTGCTTGCCACAGCTGGGAGGGCAAACAGCACGCCAGGAATGGGTGCAACCTCTTGGGAAGCTGCTGATTTCAGCCCTGCTCTGTCCCACACACGGCCATGGAGGATGCTGGAAGCATTTTGCATCCATCACACAGTACATAATAACTCGTCGGCTCATGATTTTATAAAGCCATTAAGGCAGCTGCGTAGCTGTGGGTCGATAGAGTGCTAATATTAGCTCGAAATGACTAAAATTAGAAAATTAGAACCAAGCCAGAACTAATTAGTTGTTCAAGGAATAGAACCAGAACCGGAACTAATTAATTGTTCCTGAAATATCGCCGCGGGGCCCGGTGGGTGCTGCCGCTTCCAGCCGTGCACTAACTCCCAGCTTTGCTTGAGATGGCTCCTGCGTGAGCTTGAAAAGGAGCCTGGGGTCCCATCTGATGGCTGTGACAGCTAAATAAGAGTTGGCCTCTCAGTCCCAGCTGTGTGATGCAGCATAAACTGGGCTGCGCTGGGATTAATCCCATCACAGCCGTGGCAGCTGCTGCCTGAAGGGCTCGGGAACACAGCCCCTCATCCCGGCATTGCTGCCCAGATGTGCCTTTCTAAAGGTGAGGGTAATTACAGTGACCACCTCCCTGGCTCCCAGCTCTTCCCTCTGATCCCAGTGGCCCTGCCTGCCCCTTCTCCTTCAGCTCTGCTGCTGCTGAGATGCTCTTCAGAGCTCCCTGAGCAAGCCAGGAGCTGCCATTTATGCAAATACTGCCAGAATAATTTCCAGGGAATTAGGAAGCAGGTCCAGATAACTGGCACGTGGCTGCATTTTTCCATCTGTGACTCAAGTCACCTGTATGGTCACTTCTTTTTACTTTCCAAAGGTAGTAATGCACCTTATATTTCTTTTTCCACTCTCTCAGCACTCAAACAGCAGCTCCGATTTTAGCAGCAGCATGACGCACAGTGTTTTAAATTCAATTTAAAATACAAACTATTTATACCAGCCAGAAAAAGGCAGTGAAGCAGCTCTCTCTGTCATGAGTGGATTTGTAATTTCAGAGCAATCATTGCATAACTAATTGAATCAGCTCTCAGCATGTGAAATCAGTGCCCCTGCTTATCAGAGGTTTTCATCGTTCCCCCCTCCTGAAGCCAGCAGTCCCCCTCCACTAGCAGCACTTTGTGCTTCTGCATCAGCCTGGGAAGAAAGCGAGACCTGCAAAGCTGCCTTTTTCTGCTCAAATTGAGCCAATAAATTACCAAATACATTCAGAGTAGATGAAGAGCTGGGTTGCAGGTGCCCCCGAAAGCTGCCCAGGCTCCATGCGAGGGAGTGAAGTGCATTTGGAGCTAATCAAGTGCCAGCCATGTCTGAGAAGCAAAATTGGTGCCGAGATGTTCTGCTGACTCCCACTTCCTGCTTCATTGCCCAGGTGTGCTCTCTCTCTCCTTGGCTGGAATTTCATGTCTGATGTCTGATCCAAACCTCCAGCTTGGCATCTGAAAGTGGAACCTAAGAGAGGCAATAAATATAGTGACAGCTTTCTGAGGGATGCAGGAAAGGTAGAGAATAAAGTAGCTGTAAGGATTTTATCAGCTGGGAGTGCCAGGCCTGAATTTGGTGTCCGGGTGGATCTGGTCCTGCAAATTTTGGGAGCAGCTCCAACCATCTGCATGCAGCAGCCTCCCAGGGTGAGAGGGCACCTCCTCATCCATGGGGTGGTTTGGGAAGGGGCCCATTAGCATCTGCAGAGCAGGAAGCTGAACATGGGAGCCAGGGAAAAGTGTGCTGTGAAGGATGCTAACACCTCCCCAGGGATGCTGTGAGTGGGTCTGTGCGTCCTGGGCTGTCACTGCCGGGCTGGGATGGGTGAGGAGGGCAGACTAAACCTGAATGGCTACAATTGCTGAGTGCTAGTGAGGACTAAGCTGGTTTAGCTGGTACAAGTGGAAGCAGATCTCTGGGCAAGGCTGGCAGATCTTGTCTTGAGAAAGCTTGAGGGAGGGCTTGCAAACTTTTCTGGATGTGCAGAGGGAGGGGTTGTTTCTGCCAGGTGTGGTCCCTTAGACTCGTTTTGGGAGATGCCACAGCCCAGAAAATGAGAGCTGAGTGTCCCTGTGGTGCATCCCCTACTCAGGGATCTGCTTTCTTCTCAGGAGAGAAATATTAGGATCCATGGCCGGAGCCTTTTGTTTTTGGTGGTCAGGGAACAGCCTTAGCAGTTCTCTCAGCCTTGTTAGACACATGTCCAAGCCTTGTATTCCCTAAAACTGACGTGTAGGGTATTTTCTGGTTTGTTTTTTTCTTTTTTTCCTTGATGCTGCTGGCTGACCTCGTGTGCAAGGGCATATGCAATGCAAACAGGGTCTGGCATAGACAGCAGAAAGAGCTCCCCTCCCCAGGCTTGGTTCAGCCATGTCCCACCAGTGGCCTCCACTTGTTTCGTGCACAAAGCCACACAGACGAAGTGTCCTGAACATGTGAGGCCAAGGCTATGGGATTTGTGCTCCTGGGGCAGCGTGTTCCAGGCCCCCCCCAACCACCCACTTTGTTTTCCCTTGTCTCTCCAGGTAGCCAGATGGGAGCACAAAACACGAGCTCTCAGCCAAGTCTTCGGCTCTCCCCATGCTGCCTGTTACTGCCTGGGTGCTGTGATCCTGGTGCTGAACTGTGTGAGGAGCCACTGGTAAGGAGCTCATCCTGCTGCTATATATCCATGGGAAAAAAATGCCCCTCTAAAGTGGGGGGAAAAAGGGACGTTTGCTCAGCAGTGTTAAATCCAACCCCAGCGTATTGCTTCTCCATGGTTGGGTAACTTCAGCCAGCAGCAGATTTATTCCAGGATTTGTAATAAAGATGAGGGATGCAGCAGCATGGCCAAACCCATCAGTTTCACCGGTCATTAAGTGTCACAGGTTACCTTGCTCTGCTCCCTGGGGATGTTTCCTCTCTCCTGTGTGCAGCCCAGGTGACAGGGCTGCTTACACAGGATGGATCATATGTAACAGCAGAATTGTTTTATTTTCTTGTAAAAATCATAAGCAAAATTAAAGCTGCTTTTAAGAAGCCGCAGTTTCCTGTGCAGAAGACCAGGATTACCCGTGCACTTAACAAACAGTCTCTTGAAACTCTTATCTGCAATCTCTAAACACTACCTGTGCTAGCTAATAGTACTGTATGACTGATACACCATACTCCATGGGAATATGTCCTTTAATGTTCCCAGTACAGCAAAGAGGTTTTACTGCAGAAGATTTCCTCAATGCCAGCAATTTATCTGCGATCTGGTAGGCTTTATCTCCACTGCTGTTAGGAGAGACAGACCCACTAAATTCCCAGATTCAATTATACCAGGGTCAGAGCTAATGGGTTGTTTAGTACTCTGGGTAATTTCCCAGGCGCAGAGTTCTCAGGTTGGAATTTGCACATGTATTTAAGAGCTCTGCTTTCCTGGAAATGACACCAGAACCTGCCCTTGCCCTTCTGTGTTTGTCCCAGCTACTACTGATGGCAGAAACTGAAGGAAAGCTTGCAGTGAACAGGGCTATAATTGAATGCAGAGGGCATGTGTGTATGCTGCTGATGTCTTAGTGACACAGCGGGCTTGGATTTTGCTGGGGAATGTCTCGACAGTCTCTTGCACAAATTACTTATTCACTTGTTGTCTGGGAAGCAATGCAAAGCCTTGTCCTTGCCTTTAATTAAAAACACAGGTGGAGGGGCAATCTTCATTTCCAGTGGTCCCGCTGGTTCCTGGGTCAATGAGGCACTGAGAGGGAGCTGCTGGGAGAGCCAAAGTGGCCTCGTGTGTCCTGGCACTGCGTCACACTTTGCCCCTGCAGAGCCCTCGGAGCCCTACCAGGGCTGGCTCTGCTATGTGACACGAGTCTGTGGGGTCTGTGGGACTCACTGGGTTGTGCTCCACCTGTGCAGCCCAGCAGCTGGGCCCTAAAGGAAACAACAAGGTCGATCCAGGGGCTGGAAAAGCCCCGTCTGGACCTCGGGTTTGGAGGAGAGGCTCCAGATAGGGCTTTTCCCGAGAAGATGGGGCAGCTCAGCCCCAGCAGAACACAGATGAGATGCAAGCCCATCCTGATGGGCCAAAGCCTTTCAAATTATTGCAATGGAAAGTTTATTTTGCCCTGATGTTTCCACGTGGTTGGGTTATTCCCTCCCCTTTCCTTGGTGCTGAAGTTGGCCTGAGTGATGACTAACAGGCTTTGGAGGCTCTTCTGGCAAGGCAAGCCCTTAACTGTGGGAAGGATTGGGTGGTTCCAGGGTGATCATCAGAGCAGCAGCTGCTGGAGTTATCCCAAAAGACACCTAGGAGCCTCACTGCCTCCATTCCCAGCTCAGGGAGCCCTGCAGGGCTGCCCAAGGCTTATTGCTCCAGCCTAGAGAGCTTTTGCTGCTTAGCCAGGATTCATCCTGCCCCTTACCCTCGCATGATGATACCAGCCAGATCCAGCCCGGAGTTCTGCTGGCCAGAGGGGCTTCATGTGACACAATCACTGTCATCTCAGTGGCCAGTGATGCTGGGAGAGACATGTCTAACCTGCTTTTGCTATATTGCTTTTCCCTTTATTTTATTCTCTGAATCACTTTTACTGGAGCAGGTTTTTCTGCACCTCAGCCCCTCGGAGACAATCCCTTGGTGCAGTGGCCGGGTTTGCTTGTGCAGAGCATCAGGGCTGCTGATAGTGAGCAAAAAGGCAGCCTCAGGGGTCCCTCCACCTCCAGTGCTGTAATCCAACCTTTAAAACTCCACTTTTCCTGCTCTGGGGAGTTGTTACGTGGGTGGGGGCTGCCAGGGAGCGATGAGGAGCCCAGGGAATGTTTCTTTTGGTTTTAAAAGCCTGCTTCCGTTTTGCAGCTGAATTTTTGAAAGGCTCCGAGCTGGGGGCGGAGGAGGGGAGGGCAGAGCAGACAGAACTTTGGGAGTGGGTTGGCATTTTGGCTGATAGCACCTGGGAGCCAGGATGTGTGGCTCCTTCACCACCCTCCCCACGCAGGGTCTGTGCTGGAGTCCTTCTTCAGCCCAGCACCCTGATGCTCTCATGCCAGCTTGGCTCCAAAAGGATAACGTGTGAGTAAGAAGAGGGATGTCTTTGTGCTCAATTAAGCAATTAGATGTTTCCCAGCTCTCAGCTTCATTATCAGCCTAGACTTGCAATTCAGACTGACCTGTGACCAGGGGGGACCTGCTTAGTCAAGTGCACAAGACAAGCATCCTTAATTGCTTTGGTGCAATGATTATTTTCATTACAGCAGTTTCTTTCTGCAAGAAGCAAGAAACTTCCATCACCGAGGCTCTTATCTGTGAAAACAATTCCTGAACTTTTGAACTATCTGCACTGTGTGCAGTTTGTGACTGTTATCTGTGTGACATGGAACGTGACAACCTTCACTGTCCTCCAGACTCACGTCGGGTATTGCTCTCTCCTCCCTCACCACGTTGTTGATATCTTTCCCTGCATCAATTTATTCACAATTATCCACTGGCACTGCCTCCAAGCCCTCTTGCATTGCCTTTGGCACACTCTGGCACGCTCCCCACCCTTGGGCAGGTACACAGGGAGGTGTTGAGCCTCCCTCCTGACAGGACTCAGGATGTTTGCCTGAGCTTACAGGCAACATTCACGTGCACACCTTGACTGGGGAGGATGCAGACGTTGGGATGTCTCAGTGTGAGTCCCACAGAGGCTGTGACAGCCAGTGCCACTGCCAGTGGCTCGGGGGTGGCATGCTGCAGGCTGGCATCAAGTCCTGCATTGAGCCACACTCTGGGTATTGCCTCCTGTGTGGATATCTCACTTGGAGCTGATACTTCCGAGAAAATAAATCCACCCTGTATTTTGCACATAATTTTGCACAGAAAAGGGGGTGTTTGTCATTGCCAGGTAGTGCCTCTCACCTTATGCTCAATGCTGTTTAATTTTGTGAGCTGGCACCATGAATGTGTTATAAATGGCATAAATTCCAGAACCACACGGCCCTGTGTGCAGAAGTGACCAAGTTTGATGATGGGAATCGAGTGTGGCCTGACAGAGCTGATGCCCCCTCTGAGCCACAGTGCCAGAAATATCTGATGCCTGTTCAGGAAAAGCCCCAGGGAGCCAACAGCACCTCCTGCCCACAACATCCAGATGAGGAAACCTCACAGCTCAGATGTGAGGGAGGGGAAGAAGCTGCCACAGCCCCCAGCTGACCTAAATAACACACACACCCCAGTGCTGTCAGAAAAGCAAAGTCATTATTGGCAAAAGAAGCTGTGAGGATGATGACTGGGCTGACAATTGCCAGTGGTATCGGCAGGACGATTTCAGTGTTGTTGAGGTTGCTGTTTTCTAATGAACAAGATCTTTTGTTGCAGCTTGTGCTGCTGGGCACCACTGGATGATTTTTATCCCCGTAGCCTCCTTTAGCCAAGAGGAACAAAACCTCAGGCATAGGGGACAGACTGACATCCCACACAGTGACTGTGGCACCTTGCAGTGGTGGCTGTTGTCACTGAAACCCTGGTTGCCTGTACCACTGCTGCTTCCTTGCTGCCTGCTGGCCCCCTGGCCCAATTCTGCTCCAATTGTGCTTATCAGCCCCAGTTTCCAGGCTGGTTTTGGGGATCAGTCAAAGGGAGCACTGCTGGGTTGCTCTCTGCAGTGACCCAGTTTGCTGGACGAGGTCTTTGTCCTTTGGAGGAGAGGGATGACAAAATACACTTGTTGGGGGCCACTGAGACATGCCCCCAACAAGACCTAGAAACCTCAGCATCTCTTTTTGTACAATATTTCTGGGTTTTCTTCCTGCCCCATGTGGTCTTTGAGGATGTGTTTCAGACTCTGACTTGTTTTCTGGTTGAATAAATCAGCACCTGATGTGCAAACCTGGCTGCACGTCCTGTCCGTGTCCCAGCCAGAGGATCTGCTGCCCATTTCCCTCACTCCCACTTTCTTCCTGTGAACCCACTGGCATGACATGTCTATCCCCATAGTGCAGAGCCACTTTGAGTGGTTTTCCAGTTCATGTGGTTTATTATGTGGCAGACAGGAAGAGGAGAAATTCAGACTAGATATAAGGAAGAATTTTTTTATGATTAAATGTTTTATGTGGAAACACAGATTGTCTAGAGAAGCTATATCTTCCCCATCCCTGGAAGTGTCCAAGGCCAGGCTGGATGGGGCTTGGAGCAGTCTGGGATAGTGGAAGATATCCCTGCCCATGGCAGAGGTTTGGAACTGGATGAGCTTTAAGGTCCCTTCCAGCCCAAACCATTCTGGGATTCCCATGGAGCACTGATAAGACTTCTGAGTATCTGAGCAAGTACCTCTCTGTTTTTTGGGAAGGTTGGGCAGAACAGTACCTACTGCCTTGGCTGCTCCTATCCTGCCAGGAATTAGCCAAATCTGCCAGTTTGGCCACAGTAGAGTTGAAGGATTTGGGCTTTTCCCATCTGGTGGAGAATGTGTGCCTCTGGCGTCATGCTTCAAACTGAAATTTTGGGGGCATGTCAGGAGAAGCCCCATTACACCGTTTTCCCTTTGCAAAAGCTGGGGGTCCCCCCATGGGGACAGCCATCCTCATGACAGCAGCCAGAGATGTGATCAGAGTAGGTCTCAGCCTCGCCACCCTCCCCTGTGCCGGGGGAGGGAGGGATGGATGCTCCTCACCATGGCAATCGCTCCGCTGGGCACAGAATGCAATTCCAGGTACTGGGACAAAGCCTGGCTCTAATTGATGTCCTCTTGGATGCTGAGCTGCACCGCTGCCTTGTCAGGAGCCTGAAATAAATGCTGTCACCAACGTGACTCAGAGGCACATGAAGGAAGGGACTGGTTTCATGACAGACTGAAATATGTCGTATTTCAGGAGACCAGCTCCCTAGCAAGGGAAATGCCCAAAACCTTGTCCTTCCCTGCCAGGGAGGGCGAAACATGGCCAGGGAGGCTCCCTCACCATCGTGGATGCAGGAATAATTGATAGCTCCATGCTGCTTGTCACAGCCCAGTGTCATAAATGCTTAAAAGGTTTATTTACCAATTCTGAAAACTCCTGAGCACATCATGTTTAATGCAAATAGAGAGTGTGCTTAGGAAGATATAAACCATTCCTAGAGGGAAAGGCAGTCCATTATCTCCATGCAAACACCTCCCTCCCTAGCTGTAAGCCAAACAGCAGGGAACTGAGCAAGACATGCTGGTGAGAATAAGTAATGCAGGCCTACCCAACCATGGAAAGGAAGGATGGGATCATCTGGAGCAGGAGAGACAGCTTTGCCAAAACAAACCATGCCATGTGCTGGTTGCAAAACTTCCAGTGCTGATTCCCAGCCAACCAGTTCATGCTCTCGAAGCCACCTTTGTTCCATGTTCTGAGACTGAGTCAGGTCATCAGCATTGGATAGAGAAGCCCTGAGGATGTGAGAGAGTGTGAATCCAGCTGATCCAGAGCAGGAAGCAGGCTCTGAGGGCTTTGCTCTTGCTGTACCTCTTTCTGCTTTGCCATCTCTTTGCCAATGCCTGGGATCCAAGTGGGTTCCAGCACAGCATTGCTGTCCCAGATTTGCTTCCCTGGGGGATCAGCAAATTGCTATAAAATCCTTCCTGGTGCTGGTGCCCTCTGGATAGGTCCTGGCCAGATGTGGAGCCAAATCCTCACGCTGTGAAAGACACATCCTCCTCTGTGTGAGTAAAGAGCTGCAGAGCATCCCTGGGGATATCAGGGTGTGTTTTGAGTGCACAGCCAGGCCAGGATTCCTTCAGCCAGGCACATCCCTGCAGGGGGATTGCTTTCCTCCCAAACCCAGGCAGTGCTGGTAGCAGGGACATGGATTTTCTGGCTTCCTCGTAGAGGAGACTTGTGTCATTTAAAAATAAACACCACGGAGATGATGCAAAGGGTTGTGCAGCTGCTGCTGCTTCACAGTGCAGCCAGATTTGCGTCTTCTCATCGGAAATGATTTTAAGCTAAGCCAGTGTGAGCCTGGTGAGCACAGGGAGCTGTGCTGGGCACTGGAGGAGGGCCAGCCCTGGGGACTGCACCTACAGCACCTGGGGCCACACTGTTGTTCCTCTATCTGTGCTTGGCTCCCAGGAAAAGGAATTTCCCTGTAATTTCCAGAGTGTAAATCACTCAGATCCTGTGGTTTTGGTCACTTTTGAGCGTATTACATTTATTTTGTGTTTTATTTTCTTGCTCCAATCCAAACTGATGATTAAATGTCTGATTCTGGGGTCCTAAAAACTCCTCAGCAATAGAAAGCCTAGTAGGAGCAAGCTTCAAAGTGAACAAAGGATATAATCCAGGTTCCTAAACCACAGAGTTTAAGTATTATCCTGGACTTGCTTGGTGCATGAACATGCCATCAAGCCTTTGAAAAATGTGTTTCCAGCTGCCTGGTCTTCAGCCACACAGGCAGGACTGTCTGTCTCAGCTTTTATTTGGGCAACAGGGAAAATCCAGATGTTTGCAGGGCTTAGAGGGAAGATGGACAGAAGGAAAAAAAGCTATCCCCAGCCCTGCAGGTAGCATTATGGGAACACTTTCCAGCTGAGGAGCCCAGGACTGTGGGCAGGAATAACTGTCCTGGCCCTGACAGACAGTGGTGGCCGAAGGTGCAGGAGAGCTTTTATTCCACTTGAATTTTAGCCTCCAGGGTGCTCATTAAAAAAAGGCTCAAAGTTTCCTACCTCATGTGTCAACAACATGTGGAGAAACACTGTGCAGAGCTCTGCAGGTCTGTTATCTCCTCTCGTGTTATTAATGGTGTTTTTTTTAATCACAGCCTTGTCTCTTTTGTCATCGTGCGTTTGTGGCGGAGCTGTGTGTGATGCTGAGCCTGCCAAGCCCTGCTCTGAGCAGAGCTCAGGGGGCTGAAGGGAGGGGTCACCATTATTCCAATCACAAACAAGTATTTGGAAGGTCAGAGCCGAAATGCCTGACCCAGCCTGGAATGGAGGAGATGTGCTCGCACTCAAAAACGCCTCGTCTCTAGTATTTTCCTTTTGCTGTTCCAATCCTCCCCCTGGCTGTCAGGCTCCAGCCATGAATCACTCCTGGGCACGTGGCTAACACATGAACACTGCAAAATATTTTGATGGAAGGGGAACGGAGGTGGGAGCACGAGATAATCCAGCCAATTGTTCCCAACCCTTCAAGTCCTGTGCCGAGGTGTCTCAGCCTCCAGCATTTGCAAGGGCGTCTGTCCCAGAGCTCTCAGTCATGATGAAAGCCAGGATTTGGTGAATAAGGCAAAGCATTTGATATCACAAGTCAATGGGACTGGTATTTCCAGGAGTGAGCAAGGGTTGTGAGTAGAAATTGCTGCCCCAGATCAAGCCCTGGCTTCTCATAATCTTCAGCTGATTGCTTCTTCCATTGGGAGGTTGAGTAGGCCTGGGTAGAAAAAGGGATCTGGAGAGGGAACCTCCTCAGCAGCTTCCACTCCCAAAGCTCTACATCTCCCAGGGTGATGTGGGTGATGTTAATTATGAGTTGCTGCTTTTAAGATCCCTTTTGTCTCCCCAACAGCTTCACAGAAGCCATGAAGAGCCAGCCGAAGGTGGAGGGCTGGGACAGCCACTGGACCTATTACTCAGGCTTGGCCATCTCGGCTGTGGGGACCTTGTTTGTCATCTCCAGCTTCTTAGCACTGGGATTCACTGGGACCTTTCTAGGTAAGCACTGAAAATCCAACAGCTTTACCAGAAAGTGCATTTAATCCTTGCATGGATCTCTTGCTAGGGCAGAGTCCTGTAGGAATTTCCTCGTCCTTGCCTTCAAGGCTGTCAGATTTGTCATTATGATACCAAATCATGTCCCAATCCTACTGTTAACCTCAGTTACCTTGCACAGAGGGGATGGCAGAGTGGTTTTATACAGCAAATCCCACCACCTCCAGCATCAATCCTGCAGGTTTGGAGCACAGCTCATCTGTCAGTCCAAACACCCTCCAGAAAAGGGACCCCAAGTTCAAGACCTCACAAGTGGCACAGGCACTGGCACAGCCGGTGTGAGCTGTCCAGCAGCCCTGCTCCAAGCACCCACCTGCTCATCACACGTGCTGAGGCAGGATGTTGTTTGCTCTCCCCTCTGCAATAAACCTGATGTTCGTTGATAGATCCTTTTATCTGCCGTTTTATGGCAGAAGGCATTTTCCACTGTGCCTGCTTTCACATTTAGAGCATAATTCTGTTAGCATTGTTGACTCTGAAAACATGCCAGTATGTGTGGAATTCATAAAAATAAAGTAGAGACAGGAACAATAAATATCCAAGGAAAGGGGCAGCTCCTGCTGGCTGAAATAATCACAGCCTCAGCTTTGACACCTCATTTAGGCTGTGCTTTTGCAAGTGCTTTACAAACCAAATTCAATTAGCTCCTTTGGCGTCGCTAGGAAGAAGAGAGGGACGTAATAAGCCTTCCTGGTTTCAAGTGGAGTTGCAAAGAAATGTGTTGAGTTGGCCGAAATCCTGCTGCCAGAAATAGAGCTCAGCACTCCTAAACATGTGCCCTCACCCTCCATGTGCAGCCTCACTCCTGGTCCCCTGTCACACCCCTGTCCCTCAGCTATGAGCACCAGCATCCTCCAAAATCACCAGCAGTCCCCTGAAGTGATGTTGTGCCTGTGGAGACATGTCCAGAAAGGCCAGGCACAGGAGTACCCGTCAGCAAGAGCTGCTTGAATGCTCCTGAAGTTCAGCCAGATCTGGAGTTGTTTACGTAAAGCCTGATTCATCTGACCGGGAGGATCCACTGGACTTGAACCGCTGGGAAAAAGCAAACAAGTGAGTCAGGCTCAGCGTAAGAGGTGACAGGGCCCTGTCCCCTGGATCTCTATCCCCCAAGGCAGGGGAGAGGTGGGTGTTACTGGTCCTTATAAGGCATTTCTGCTCCATTCTCTCTGCTGGGGAGGCTCTCCCTGCCACCACTGCCCTGGACTGACACAGCAAGGACCAGCTCTCTCTGCTAGCGGGGCATGACAGGCACAAGGGCAGAGCTGAGTCAGGGTGGGGACATGGCAGGACCATGTGCCAGGGCAGCCAGGCTGGCTCAGGATCTCTGCAGCACCTCTGCATGGCCCAGCTGGAGCCCCACAGAGGATCCATCCTTGGGCTGCTGACAGCTTCTCCACTCCACACAAGCTCCTGAGTTCAAGTCAACAAACTCTTAATGGAGAATGTCCCTCAGCGTGGTTTGTTACCCAGCCACGAGGAAGACAATGGGTCTGCAGGTCTCTGAGGATCTCATGTGGGATATTCTCTTGCTCAGGACTCTTTCAGGAGTGGTACTTCCAACATCCATGCAGGATTTTAGTGCTGCCCTGGTGCTGCAGGAGGAGCAAAGATTCCAGAAAGCAAAGGACTGCATTGCTTTGGCAAGGAGGGACATCCAGCTTCTCACTGTCAACATCTGAGCTCAAGAGAAGTTTGGAGAGAGCCTCTGACACACAGGCACTTCAAAAATTACTGGAGCTGTATTTGGCCCTTTGTGGGTTTTTATACAGCAGTGAGGGCTGAACCAGGCAGGGCACAAGGCTGCCTGTTGAATTCTTTCCTCACAGCACATTTAGGCTTTGGAGCAGCTGCAGAACACTTTGTCTCTCTGGTGTGGGCTAAATGGTGCAGTGGGAGCTGTGTGAGTCACCCTTCTCCAGCAGTCTGGCTGTGCCACCCCATCTCCAGCACGGCAGCACCAGCTCCAGGTGCTGTTTGCAGCAGCTGGATGTGGCCCCTCTCCCTGCCAAAGCCATCCCTGGTGCCCTCACTGGGATTCAGGCATCACTTCAGCACCCTCCTTGCTTGCCCTATTTCCCAAAAAACACAGTGATGAGGGCTTTGCTTAGCTCAAAGCTGAGGATATGGAGAGGCTGCTTTGCCTGTCTGAGCCCATCTGCCTCATACCCCAGTGACATTTCTTCCAGCACTGACCAAGATTTCGAGTCAATCTGACTTGACCAAAGTCTGTTGCTGGGCCTGGAGAAAGCCAACAACTCTCTGGGATGAAGCAGAGGTGATGCTTCAGCCCAGGTCAGCCTCCAGGGATTCTGGGGGACCTTGCAGAGTGCCCTGAATGGCTTTTTTGCTGCTGTGATCCTACCCTGAGCAGCGAGATGGCTGCACAGACCTCCAGCAAAAAATAGCTCAAATTAGATGCCAAAGTGCCTCAGCTTGGCAAGGAGCTGATTGCTGATTTGAGGGCTCAGCAAAGGCACAAGAGATGCCCAGGGTGATGCTGTGCAACACAACACACAGTCCTGTCCTCTGAAGCACCTCTCTGAACATAAACACATATAAACCACCTCTCTGGTGGTCATGTTCATTGACCTGTGCAGGTTTAGAGGCAGAGATTACATTGGAAAAGCTCCTGGGGAGCTGCCTGTGTGCTCCTGCTGGTGAGGAGCCTGTCTGGAGGGTTGCACAGCCCCACCAGTGCTGGGCACAGATAAGCCCCTGCCAGCCCCACTACCCAGGGCTTTGTGTGAACCTCCTCAGTGCCAGTGCCATGAGGGGAATGAGGTGTTCAGCTCAAAGGCGAGGGCGGGCAGGGGATAATGAAGCATTTTGAAACATAAGAAAGCACAGAAACGGGCTGTAGCAGGGGGTGATGTGTTCTTTCTACCAGAACAATCTCAGAGATGTATTGCCAAGTAACTGTGAGAACATATAGTATGAATACAAGGCAATTATCTCACTTAGTGGCCTGTAGTTAAAGCCCAAAAGCATTGTGTAATTGGGCAGGGGCTGTTTATCCTTAGAAATAAATGTTTTAGCACCATGTGGGGTCAAAGAAATTACACTACGATCCAGGTAATAATAATAACCTTGAATAGTTTGCACTCCTGTAATGTCTTTCATCTGGATTTGTGAGCACTTTCTCACCATACATTAATCCTCACCACCCTCTGTGCTCTAAGAAAGACTGATGTTATGATCGGTGCACAGTAGCACCTGGAGGGACGGAGGAGATTGCCCAAGGTCAGGGAAGGGGCTGGCAGCAAAGCTGGGAGCACAGCCTGGGGTGTGGCAGTGCCCTGGGCTGAGGGACAGCTGCTCCTCTTAGATCAGTGCTTGTGCAGTGCCCATGGAGCATGGGTGGTGCAGTGCACAGAAGGGAGCAGAGCTGGGAAAGCACCAGGAGTAGCTGAAAGAGCTGGGGAGGGGCTCAGCCTGGAGAAAAGGAGGCTCAGGGGGAACCTTTTGGCTCTCCAGAACTCCATGATGGGAGGGTGCAGCCAGAGAGGGGTCAGGCTCTGCTCGCAGGCAGCAAGGGACAGGGCAAGAGGAAATGACCTCAGGTTGTAGCAGGGGATGTTTACATGTGATGTCAGGAAAACAATTTTCACCAAAGGGGTTGTCAAGCCCTGGCACAGGCTGCCCAGGGCAGTGGAGGGATTTAAAAGTCAAGTAGATGTGGTGCTTTGTGGTCTCACTTGTAAGACCAACAGAACCAGACATCTGCATCCTGGCCCTTCCATTTCCAACTCCCCGAAAATGTTGCTCACGAGCTGCACATCTCCCTGTCGTTTCTTTTCCAAGCTCCCTTCAGGAGGGTGGAAGAATTACTCCAAGGTAGATGGGGAGCTGGTTGGATGTTGACAGTTCTGAAAGCTTTCCTCATTACAGATGACAATCACTCATTATCATCATCGTCATTGTGCTGATAACTGAGTGTTTTGTAGGCAGAAGTGTTATTTTCTGAAATCCTGAGAAATTCTCTGAACTATGAGATAAGGGTGACATTATGGATGAGGGCATTTGGTCGTGGTGGTCATGATTACAACAGTTCCAAACACCATTACATGGCACTGGGTTTATTTTCACATTAAATGGATTTGATCCCATGCACTTGCTTCCTCGTGGAGTGACATTTGACAGGCAATTTTACAAATGAGAAAAGCAGGATTAACCAGTTAGGACCTCAAGAGCTGTGTCCTGATGAGGGATGTGGCTGCCATAACCTTGTTGCAATGCAGGGACCTTCCTCGTGGGCAAGGAGCCATTCCTGGAAAAGCTGATAGACACAGAGTAAACAAAGAACTTATTTGTTGCAGTTTCCTCAGCCTGGAAGTCAGTGCTGAAACCCTTTGCTGTGTATCCCTGGCAGGGATGCCCTGTTGCACAGGGAGGGTATCAGTGTGCCAAAGCCCCCCCACGACTCCCAGTTTGATGGAGCCTAACCAGAAGCTCTCTGCTTGCTCTTAGGTGATTACTTTGGCATCCTGATGGAGGAAAAAGTGACCAGCTTTCCCTTCAGCGTCCTGGATAACCCCATGTACTGGGGCAGCACAGCCATCTACCTGGGCTGGTCCCTCATGTAAGTATGTGCCCTACAAACACCTCTGGTTGTAGGGTGAGTGTGGGGTCTCTTTGCAGGGCAGGAGGTGCCAGGGTGCATTGGGGACCAAAAAGATGATGGCAGAGAAAGTGCAGCATGCCCTGACTTTTGACTCCTTGGTTTATTTGGGTTTTTTTTTTGCGTGGAAAATCTTGTGCTGTCTCGAAACACTCGCAGCATTTGTTGTAGAAAAATAAATAGCGGCCAAGTGCTGGGGGAGAGGAGGCATCAGCAAATGCTCTGCAGCTGAATGAGGTCCTTGGCAGACTCTGCACGTGGAAAAATCAACACTCAGGGCCAAATTCATGCAGGGTGTCACTCGGCAGGGGCAGGGCACTGTACTGGGGAGCAGTGTGACCCTGCAATTACTCTGAAAAGAGTAAAACAAGCCAAGCCACCCTTTCCCCCAGCCCACGGTGATAACACTTCCGAAACACTCCTTGTGTGATACAACAAGCTTAATAGCCTGCTTAGGAGGAAATGAATAGGCTGTAATTTAGCAGCAAATGAGCAATATACTCTATTCAGTGTAACAAGTTTGATGTGGTTTTCATTTAATATCGCATTTTATTTATTTGCCCAGGAGAAAAAAAAAAACCTTCAGGAGCTCGTGGAGTGTTGCAGGCCGTTATCACTGGGTATTTTGCACTGATGCTCCTGACTGTAACCACCTCTCCTCTGCTTGGGTGGAAAAAATGAAGTGCTTTGCCACTTTCTGGTCATTTTTTCAGCCATGTGTGCAGCCCCTGGTAATAAGTAAAGCTGATGGTTTCTCTCCTGTCTCCACTGAGCCTTGCTGCTGTTAGTTCTTGAAATTGCCCCCGGTGCTGTCAGGCTTGGCTGCATGAGGCTGTTTTCCTTCCTGGCAGAGCCACGGCACTGGATGGGGTTTAAATCCTGGGAAATGGTGCAGGAGAGCCAAAGGGAGGCAGTGCTGGGCACGAGAGTTGGCCACAGGGTCTGCAGCAGCACCATGGAAACACGAATATTGCTGTGGGAAGTGGGGCAGAGCTGGGGCAGGATGAGACACCCACACCACACCATGACCCCCACAGCAGGACAGAAGTAAGGATTTGACCAGAAGGAATTATAAAGAGATCTTTATTTGTTTTAAAATCAGCCTCAAACTGCTTCTTAAAACCTTTGCAGAATCCACTGAACCCTCCTGAGCTGTTTCTGTCTCAGAATCCCTTCTTCACCCCTCTCATTGTGCTCTTCCAGCACAATTCTGGGCAAGAGCAGCTCGAAGCAGCTCAGGATAGCAGTGATTGCCTCTTTTTTCTCGTTAAAAGGCTGCCACCATTTAGGCCAGCGAGGCATGACAAATAATTGCTGTGAACAAATTGCTGGAGCTGTGCAAAGTGGCACCAAGGCACCACCCACCTGCCTGAGGGAAGCTCAGCACAACCCTTCTCACGGTGGTTTTGGCTTTTTCTTTTCCCTGGGACCTCAGTTCATACAGTCACAGAATCATTTAGGTTGGAAAAGAATTATAAGATCATCAAGTCCAAGTATTAACCCAGCACTGCCATGATCAGCACTAAAACTTGTCCCCAAATGTCACATTTGCGTGGCTTTTAGACCCCTCCAGGAATGGTGACTCCACCACTGCCCTGGGCAGCTGTGCCAGGGTTTGACAGCTCTTCCAGGGAAGAAATTTTCCCAATATCCAACCTAAACCTCCTGTGGGGCAACTTGAGGCCATTTCCTCTTTTCCTGCCCTGGTTTCACCCAGGGAGGTGGAGAGGGTGAGAAGGTTCCCCCTGAGCCTCCTTTTCTCCAGACTGAGCTCCCCCATCTCCCTCAGCTGCTCCTGGTGCTCCAGACCCATCCCCAGCTCCATTCCCTTCTCTGGACACCCTCCATTGGCTGATTTTTTGGGGTGCCCATGCTTTCTCCTGAGGTCCCAGGGCTTTCAGAAGATGTCAGGTGTCTGCCCTCAGAGGCCAGAGCTGATGTCGCATCTCTGTGGCAGCAGGAGGGATGCTGGAGGAATCCTCCAGCTGTCTGATTCTGACCAGACCAAAAACACAGAGCACTTTTGTCCTCCCTTGTGATGCATCACACTCTTTATCATGGCATCAGAACCCAAAGGATTGATCCCTTCTCATCTGCAAGGTATGAAAACACAGAACATCAACCAGCCTGTCCTCTGACTCCAGCCTTAAAAGCATCCAGTGGGGTGACAACCCACAGCCACGGGGAACTGCAGCAAGGCTGGGGACAGACAGATTTCCTACCCAAACAGAAGTCCTGCCAGGACAACAAAACCTTCCTGACTGATTCATCATTGCTGCTACAATCAGATGTGGCCAAATATGTAGGTCAAACTCGTAAGAGGACACGAACAGTTCACCCAAATGCTGCTCATCACCTGTGTCAGCCTCATTTCTCCTGCGAGACAAATGGAGCATTCACTGTGTGGGGACAGCTTTGTGTGCCTCTGGTAGAGAAGTGTTCTAACTCACAGCAACAGGCTGCATAAATCAGAGCTGGAGCTGCAGCCAAATGATGCAATTAGAGGTCTTGCTGTCAACAAACAATCATGTAAATTTGTTCTCTCAGATAGGAATCAAGAAGGAGACATGACTAAGCATGTAATAGCAGGAGCTTGGGAGAGAAGGAAGTTGCCCGAAGCTTCCTAATGAGGGAAAAAGTTAGTACAGAATGAAAACCGAAAAGATGGAGATTTGTGGGTGCCTCCCCAGGGATTGATCAGGCTGGGTGGTACCTGAAAGTGGCTCCAGTATGAGGTTTAGGTAGTTCAGTCTCTCTCTGCAGGTGTGTTTTCCCAGCAGCACAAGTCATCTTGTACCAGGCTTGTGGGATGTTTATTCTCGTAAAATCACAGAATAGTTTGGGATGGAAGAAACTTGAAAGCTTATCTTAATTGTCTCCCTTAATTAGGACACTGGTGATTGCCTTTAACAGCTGGTGGCAGCTCTGAGAGGGATGAGATCTGGCTGTCAGCAGATCAAGTATTTAGCTGGGCCTTGGTGGGAAAATGTGCAAGGCCAGGCTGGACAGGGTTTGGAGCAAGCTGGGATTGTGGAAGGTGTCCCTGCTCATGGCAGGGGTGAGATGAGATTGAAGTTTGAGATCCTTTCCAATCAAAACCGTTCCATGATTCTACAATTCAGTGACATCTCTCTTCAGAGCAGGAGGTGGTGAGGATTTTTGGTCCCAAAGCTATGGCCTCTGCTAAAAGGAACAGCCATCTCCATTGTATCCTCAGTTCTTGATCATCTCTCTCCATAACAGACAGTGAGGAGCAGTGGGTGGCATCAGTCCCCCGTGCTGTGCCTGGTGACATCTCACTGGAGGACACATTCCTGAAACACCTTGAAATGGGTTTAAAAGTGAACCCAGCACCCAGCCCTGATGCAGCACCCACCCCAGCACCCTTCCCAGGGCAGGAATGGACCTTCCCATCCCTTTCCATCCCCATCCCTGCACTGGCTGAGCCACCACTTGGATGTGTACACTGCTCTGGCTGCCTGGTGTCCCCTGGACCCTGGGTGGCCCATCTTTTTGGAACATCAGGCATTTCCCTCAGAGCATGGGCTGGGAGCTGCACACATATGTCAGCAGCTGCTCAGCCCCTAAACATCCCCATAATCTCAGGATTTAACATCAAAGCAGGAGCTCTCATAGCAGGGACGTGTAGGGATCAGACTTAAAAGAAGTCGCTGAAATAGGCTGGGGAAGAGTCTCTGCCAAGTAGCATCTGCCTAAGACAGTTAACATTAGCACAAAAAAAAACCCCAGCCCTTTTGTTTGCTTCTGTTTAATGAGCAAGTGAGAGCTCTCTGCAGCCCAGTGTCTCATTTCACTTTCTCAACTAGGTCTTGCATAAGCCCATGTACTTACCTGATCTTTTCCTTCTCTTTCAAAACAGGCACGCCAGCCCAGCTGGCCTTTTGCTGACAGCTGTAGTGGCAATTTCCTACACAATCGCTGTGCTGTATGAGGGGTGAGTAGCTGTGCAGAACTGGAGAGCTTCTAATTATTTCTACCAGCTTTAACTCTCGACGTTTCAGAGAACTGCACAAGTAGAGATGTTTTTTTTTTCCAGTTAATTCAGTGGGGAAGAACGAAAACACAGGATTATTTTTCAATTGTTTTGATAATAGGCAGATTCCACTCTGAAACTATTTGCTGAATTCTAGGAACATTTGTGCATTTTTTTTTATTTTTATCAAAATGAGGTCTTTTTTCCTTTTGGGTACCAGATTCTGTCTGTAGAAGAACAATTAGGAAAGCGGTGAGAAGACTCATTGTGTCTTCAGAAGAGCCCCTACAAGAAGCACTCGCATTTTGTAGTTCCTTGGATGGGCTTCTCTGCTGTTTTGCACCACAATAGCCCAGCCAGCAGCACAGGATGGAGCAGCAAAAAATAACTCCCAGAATTAGCAGTTGTACTTCAGCACTGAAAGGTCTTTTGTGTTTGCAAGGGAGGAGATGCAGAGAGCATGAGGGGGGAGTCTGAGTGTGTGCTGAGCCTCGTCCTGCTCAGCACAGGGATGGTCCTGTAGCTGCTCCACAATCCAGAGGGGCTGAAAACCAGGATTGCCACGGCACAGAAATAGCCAGGCTGTGCCAACCTGTGAAGGACAAATTTTGTAGGCCCAAAGGTGAGCACTCAGTAGCCTTGATTTTAATTCTTCCTCCCTTCTTTTGCCCCTCTCTTTTGTCTCTGCCCCCTCTCTTCCCCAAATTCCCATCCTCTTAACTACAGGCCTTTCACAGAGGAAATCTATCGGAGGAAGCAGAAGGGAGTGAAGAACAAGTAACCCCAGGTACGTTTGCTGATGGGAGCATTTCAGGGGCTGCTTTTCTGGGCACCAACAAGTCAGGACTGCTCAGTCCTGTCTTCCCTGGCTCCTCCGGAGCCCTTCCCACACTTCTCAAAGCATTTGAGCTTCAAAATCCCAGGCAGAGAGGCTTTTCACAGCAGCAGTGCTGTCCGCCTCTTGGCACCCGACCAGCAGCCCCCAAATTGTTTTGATTATACACTTGAGAATCAGTGTGAGGGAAAATTGCTGGGAAACTTTGAGGCTCCAGGCTTAATCTGAATCAGGCAGAAAAAAAAAAACTATTGGCCATGGCAGGTGCTCCAGAGAGTGGCGGGGATGGTGTGAGAGGGCATGTGTGCCTGCTCATCCCTCAGGGACATCGGACATCCCTGCTCCAGCTGCTCCTTGCCTGAGCCAGTGGAACATTTCTGCCAGTAGGTTCACCCTAAAACCTCAGCCCAGGCTTGTCTGGGGGGCCAGAGTCTTCTCCAACAGCACAAGCTGCTGGTCAGGCTCCTCTCCTGAGGGTTCATTGCCATCTTGGAACGCCCAGTGCATTTGCCTGCTGGTTGTTGGAGAGTTGGGACAATCCCAGGGCACTGCTGAGGTTTTGGCAGCACCATAACTTCTGCTCTGACAGAGCTGCTGTGGCACCAGTGAGGTCCCCAATGGACTCTTGTCCCTTTGCATTTTGCAGAGCACTCTCTCGGGTACCTCGTGCCTCTCCGGTCCCCACACTGTCCAGTTTGCCCATTTTCCTACTGAGATGTATCCTAGTAATTAACCCAGCAACCCTTAATGAGCCAACTGAGCTCCCTGCAGCACTGGAAGTGACCAGAGGAACAGCCTGAGCGTGGTGGCAGCTCCTTGCCACAGCCCATGGGAGATGGAGGTCTCTGTCCCCAGGTCTCTGTCCAGGTCACTGCAGCTCTCCTGGGAGTTACACAGGACAGGACCTCCCCACCTCTTCTCCCACACCGATTATTGGAGATCTGCAGGCACAAAGGAATTCCCTTTGGACTGGAGGGAGAGCAGAGTCGTGATGGAAACACCATAAGTGAGCTCTGAGCATTTGGAAGAACCAGCTCCAGCTGCTGCTGAAGATCATCTGAAGGTGCTGCCCAAAAGCCACGAGAAGCAGACAAAGCTCAGGTGCAGCAATGGAGAGAGCTCAGGAACCCCTGAAGATTCAAACACAGATTGGGAAGGAACAGGAGAAACTGCTGTGAGTTCAACAACAGCAAAACCTGCTGCAAACCCAAAAACCAACCCCTTCTTTTCTGAGAAAGGAACCTCCCTGTCCAGAGCTGCAGTTTCCCACCCAGCGTTTCCACAGTACTGCAAAGGCTCCCAGAAAAGTGACTGAAAAGCGCAGGAATGTGAATGTATGACCTAAACCACAGCCCAGGGGCATGGAGGGATGGCAGCTGTCTCGTGGGGTATGGAGAAGACCCAGGGGAAGAGTCAATCCGTGTCTGCACTTCGCAGATATCCCACCCCTGGCCAAGTTGATGCCCTAAGCCCCTCCTTTTCCTTGGGTCCACATGAGGGTCCTGCTGCCTTTCCCACCACCCAGTGCCTTCCAGCTGTTTTTCACTGTCTTGCAGGGGCAGTGGGAGAGAGGGAAGAGAGGGAAAGGTTTGTTTCTGCAGCAGCCACGTACAGATGTGCCCCTCCGCCCCTGCCACCAGCCTTGGCATGTCCCAAAATTGTCCAGTGCTGAATCCTGCCTTCGACAGAAAGAGTCCACAGAGTGTTGCTCCAGTCCCAGGCTCTGTTTTCACAGATTCCCAGAACAGTTTGAGGAATAAATGACTGTAAATGACCGAACGATGGGCTGCTGGAGAAGGGAGCTGTGCTGCTGCCAGCTCCAGGGCGGGCACTGGAATGCAGGGCCACATCTCAGCATCATCACATCCTCCCCTCCACAGAGGGTCCTCTCTCTTCTCACTGTCACCTCCATGAAACGGTTCCATTTCCTTTGGCTTTTACACCTTGTAATTAACTCACCCTCCAGGCATTGCTCAGCAGAATTAAAAGTGTTGGTCTCTTTTCAGTCCGGCCTCCATTTCCTTTGGCAGGGTCTCAAATGCTGTGTTTGTGTTTCATCACTTCAGAACCATTACACATAGATTTATTTTTTTATTGCCATCTCAACCACCTTCCTCTCAATGATTTGGGCATAGTACTTTATTTTTAGATAAGTTTCCACATTCCCTTCACAGCTAATGTTTATAGATGGAGGCTAAACCAGCCCAGTACCCATAGCAACCATCGAGGAGAGGATACATTGCATTATTCAGACAATTTATGTCAGAGTTGCCAGTCCTGGCTCAAAGTCTCTGATGTCAATAAACTTGGATTTGTTGATAAGTGAAATCAGTATTTACTGAAGAAGCACGTGCTCATACGGGAAGAATTATTCCTAAAGAGAACACAGTGAGGGCTGTATTTGTGCTGTCTCATTCCCGGTCTGGGGACCATGTGTGCCTTTCCCAGTCCCTGCTGCAAGGCCAGAAGGGACCCCAGTTATATCATTCCCCTCCCCAGCCAATATCATCCTCCTAAAACGTGTGTCTGTCAACGTAAACCCCAGTGGTGGAGCTGCTTCCCATCCCATGCCCACAGCATCCCATGAGCACAGGGCTTTGGTGCTGTGCTGGCACTGGCTTCACAGACTCCTTCCCCCTTGATCTGCCATTTCCAGCCTTTCCCACTTCCCAGCCATTCTGTGGCAGCTCTGCATTGCACAAGGTTTTTGTTTCTGGGGCTATGCCAGACACATCCCTGGTTTTAGTAGCTCTTCCTGCAGCAGCCAGCACGGATTAAACGTCTTTGCCTTCACAGAACTGGTTCTGGCTGACATGAAGTTGGAGTTTGATATTTTAGAGGCATCTGCTCTCTTCCCTGAAGAGGAAAGGTGAGCTGGGGGTTGATGTTCCAGCCCATCTCATGGGGTTTGAGCCCACCTTTCTCCCTGGGGCAGGGGTAGCCTTGGCCAGGACCAGTCCCTGGTGTTGCTGTGCTGCTCCCCAGGGCTGCAGGGAGGGAAACACAGAGACACCATTATTTATGTTGTTTTATGGTATCTAACTTCAAGGGATTAGGGGACTCTCCTTGGTTATAAGGGGGGGAAAAAACGTGATTCCTCTCCAATTGCCTAATATTTCCAAGAATTTGAGATTACACAGGGAGAGGGTGAAACCTTCAGGCTGAGCACGAAGCACTGGTGGTGTCACAGCTGTTTCCCCTCTTCCTGGCTGCAGCTGGGACACATCCTGCATGGATACAGGGATGGATCTCATGGCCAGGGTCAGAACATGAGTCCTGCTGTTTCCAAAGGAGAGACCTGCACTGTGGGACCCCCAGGACCAGCTGGTTGCAGCCCCAGCTCTGCACCGGCACAGGCAGGAGCATCCAGCTCTTGCAGAGACATCAAAGACCAAATGGGGTTCCTGGAAATGGGGTCATGGGGCCATTTTCATACTTTCATGCCTTCAAAATCCAGCATGGAGCTTTCTGGGCCCACTGGAGCTTGGCAGGGGGGTTTGTTTGTAGCCTTGGGAATCGCTTCACGTGATGCTGTGTGCTGACGCCACAGATAACACTTCTTTGAAGTTTGGGATATTTCTCCAGAGCAAACACCAGGAAAGGAGAAACTAGTTAAATCTCAACTCCTGCCTGGCAGGGATAGCTGGGTCACCAAGGCCATTGCTCTGTGCTGCCTCAGGTCACCCCATCCCACCAGGCAGCCTCTGTGCCCACCCTCACGGAGGTTTTCTCTGTGTGGTTGCTTTCATGGCTCCCTCAGACACATCTCCCTTCCCTAGAGCTGCACGTGGTAATTCCTTGGGATGAGAAATCATCTGTACAATGAACATCCCCACCCAAAAGGGATGTGGTGCCAGCTCCACACTCACAGGATGCTTCATCCAGGAACACTTCGGGAGGTGGAGGCTGCATTCTGTGGTGCTTTCCCTGGTGGTGGTGACATTCAGGAGCAGAGACACATTCCCAAAATCCCTCCCCTCCGTTGTGACCTCCTGTAACCCCGTGTTTGCATTCGCCCAGGGAAGCTGCGCTGCCTTGCCCCAGGGGAGGGATGGCCACCAGCCTTTACGTGGCAAATAAACACAGAATAAACACGTGGCGCAATCGGGGCAGCACGTGTGGCACTGGCACCACTGGGAATTCGCCATTCCCACCCAGATCCTGCTTGCTGACTCTGCACTTTGACTGTTTGGGAAGATGGCAGGAAATGAGGGGCTCAGGGCTCTGGTGAGGGCTCCCAAACCCATCCCAGCACTGAGGCAGAAGCTTGGTTTTTTGGCCAGTGGTTGCCATTTGATGTAAAAGCGAAGATGAACTTTGAGCTTTAGGCACTGCTTTATTGGAGATCTCTTAATCCAGAGAAGGTGGACAGGGGACACGACAAAATTTATCTTTGCAGGGGAATAAACCAGTCTGTTCTATCGCTGCTGTGTAGGGAAAACAATCTGGACTTTAAATGCTCACAAAGCAATGGGGAGAAACAATTCCCATGTAGGAAACCCCCAGTGCTGGAGCCCAAGGATGAGGATCCCAGAGCTGCATGGGGCTTTGCAGGCAGGTCCATGCTCAGGGATCTGGGATACAGGCAGCTCCAAACTCACTGGTGGCCAGGGAAAGCTTTGAAATTTCCCCGAGTGCCAAGAGAGCAGCAGCAGCAGCAGCAGCCCATACCCCCTGTCCCCCTGCCCCTGGCATCACCCCCATCAGGGACAGGGTGGAGGAGACTCCATCCGACCCAACCAGCTCATTTCCACCCTCACTCCGGGGGTCCTTACGCACGGAGCTCCTGCCACGAGGCAGAGGACAAGTTACGAGGCTGTTTTCTTTAATTTTCACACTCCAAAGCCGCCCTGAGACAGCCCGGTGAGCTGTATCCTCCTTGGATCCTGTTTCAAAGGAAAAAAAATGGTAGGAATGTGCTGCTTTTTCCATGTTGCATTTTCTTCGGGAGGAGCTGTTTACGGAGCACAGCTCCTTTCCCAGTCAGGGTCACAGGAGGGCTCAGAGCCGCCAGAGTCCTGGGGAGATGTCAGGACCTGGCTCTGCCTGTTGGGATGGGAGCCTCCAGGGTCCTGGATTTGGCCACTGGCTCAGCCTTTGCCCAGCTCAACTCCCCCAGATCCCAACCTCTCCCCCTCTGTGCTGGCCTCAGCCCCTCTGGACCCACAGGAGCAGATGTGGGACCTGACAGGAAACATCCCCAGGCTCTGAGCCCCCAGCACTGCTACCCCTCCCTGTGCCAGCCCCTGCCTGGCAGGCACTGCCCGCCTGGCACTGCCCACCCGGCTCCCTGCCACCTCCTGTCCCGCCACCCCTGCCAACCATCGCTATTTCCATGGGAACCTTCCTGAAATCTGCAGCAATGCATCCACTGGGGTCACCAAGCCTCCCTCTCCCCTGTGCCTTGTATTCCAAGCCCAGTTGCTGCCTACCTCTGGTTACAGGTGACATTTCTCTCTAATCCCAGAGGAGCTGAAGGAAACTCTGCTCTTTGGGAGGGAGCAGAAAGTGCTGGAGCTTAGGGACACATCCAGGACATGGAGACACCTTTGTTCATGCTGGTAGGATGTTACATGACCTGTGTGCAAGAGGATGGGAGGAAAGGAGATGGGAACTGGGAGCAGGGGATTTCCAGGGTGCGCCTGGCTCTGAGCTGCCTCACACTGAGCACAGGGATGATGTCTCAAGGGACCTCTTGCCACTCAGTGCCTGGATAACTCCAGGAACTGGGGATTTGAGACATCCCAGGCTTTCAGATGCTCTGTTAATCAAATCCCAAGTGCTAAAAGGAATCAAGAGACATGAAAAGTGTTGCTAAAGAAGCAGGGGGTGGGGGAGGGAAACAAATAAAGCCACCCCCTGGTCCCCAGAGAAGGAGCAGCTTCTGCATCATATTTCATCTGGGAAAAATTATATTTTGGGAATTACGTGCTTCTTCTGAAAAGCCTTAAAGAGATTTAATAAAACGAGACAAGCTAATAATATAGGGAATGAATAGCAACCCTGCATGCTGCATCTTGATTTAATCAGATGCTTTTCCTCAGGGGGACAAGCAAGAACTATGGCTAAAGCCTCCCTTCCCTACTCAGCTGCTCCCCTCTTCCTCTGGCCATTCACTCCTTCTCCCACCCTGGGGGAGCAGCCAGGACAGGATTTGGGGTCCCACAAGTCCCTGCTGTTCACCAGCAGCTGCTGGGAAATGCACAGCTCACTCTGGTTCTTTGGGAGCAGGGTAAGGAGCTGGACACCAGCTCACTGTACAGCCCCCAGGGACTGTCCAAAGAACAGTCCTGGGGGAGAAAAGCAGGAATTGAGGAGCCAGGAGAGCTGGGCTTGGCTCCATGTGCGTGGCTGCTCCAGAGCCTGGGAATGCTGTGTGCTGCTGCACAGGGGATGAGCCCTTGGTAGGATGTGAAGCATCTTAACAGCGATGGGGAGGGGCTCATGTGCGATGTGTCCCTCTCGGTGGCCTGGGACAGCTGCAGGGTCTGCATGTGCCAGGTGGGAACAGCACAAATGGCTCTTCCAGTCCTGTTTCACTGCTCAGGACCCGGCCGTGAACCGAGGCCAGCCCAGCCCCGGGGGGATGATCCTTCCCAGCTTTGTGCACACTCAGAACCAAACTCATGTTCTGATGTAATTGTCCTTTTCCGAGTATCCCTCGCTCGCCTGTCCCTGTGCTGGGCACCCCGGTGCCGCTCCTGCTTCCTGGAACATTTTGCTTCCTACATTTTTTGCCGTGGTGCTGCTGCTGTGAGCTCTGTTTTGCTGCTGCACAGTTCGTCCAAGCCAGGCCCTGGGGAGCCACATGTTCTGTCGCTGGGATGTTTGTGTGACTTTCGTGGAATTTCCTTTCCTCAGCCACTTGCTCGCGGACACAGGGTGGGTTTTGCTGGTTGGCAGGTGGTGGTGGTAAACCGAGGAGGGTGAAAATAGGGAGGGAAATAGCAAGAAAACAAGGATTGATCTGTGTTGAAGGTGATTCCATTAAAGGTGTCGCTGGGGTTAGTGCAAAGCATCCTGCCTGCGGCTCTGGCTCTGCTGAGCTGCTGCATGAAAGAGATTCTATCCTCCAAAACCAGGCAAGGAACAAAACATCCCACAAATAGCAGGGGCAAACTCTGGCAGCCGTGGGGAAAATGCCCTTTTACCTGCCTCTGCTTAAGCCTTGGGCTATTTGCAGTCAGGTCAGAAATAGGTGGTGATTTGTAAAAGAGTCATAACCGTGGGAAGGCTGTGCCTTGCAGCGAGGTGGATCCTTTATCATCAATCACTGGCAGCAGCTCCCAGCAAATGTGCTTTGCTCCTACAGGAGATGAGTTTCTAGA